TTAAGTTGTATTTTTTGCTTAATATTATCGTACTCTTAAAAAAACGAACTGCAATATTTCCGTAAATAACGTTTAATTTTAGTTGCCAAGGCCTGATAAATAAGCTCACACAAATAACTCAATTTTTACTTCTTTTATTTGTCAATGGAAAGTTTAAGGAAAGAACGGCAAGACTTTTTAGTTTTTTTTCCGTGAAGTGATGGCATTATTTGACTTTTATCGCTTCTTATTGACTTAGTATGCTCGATGTTTGTAGAAAGAAAAGCCACTATTGTAGATCACCTAATACGGTTTTTCCCTTCCTGTGTGTTTTATTACGACAGGACCGCATTCAGCGACTTTTTCTTTCAAAAAGCTTCGAGCATCCTGATTCAATAAGAACCCTGGGAATAATCTTTTATGTTCGTTTTCCCGGTCCTTGATATAGCTGGCCAGGATCCTGCAAGGATTCGCTTTCTTTTCCTCAGAGAATCCCAAAATCCTGAAAAGAGCATATAGCTACGGCATATCAAGATCCTGTCAGAATTCAATAAGAGCAATCTCAATTCTGTCATTACGTTTCAAGCAAGAACTGGCCAGGACATCGATAAAACCTGCAAGAAACGTGTGGCTATAAAATCTTCAAGATTCAGATAGTATTCAAGGGGATCCTCAAAAGATTATTCTAGAATTTTGATGATTTCCAATGAAAAAAATCTTATTTCATATTTCAGGATCTTAGGAGGTTTTCTTTGACGTTTTCATTACATATTTTGTCCAAGTCTTTTAAGAATCTCTCAAATTTTCTTGTAAGATGCCATTAGGTTTGTTTACAGGATCTTAGCAAGATTTTCTATACAGAACAGAAAGAGAAACGAGCGTATAGAGTATCGATCTCTAAACCTTCAGTTTACATACGGATTGCTTACCCACCTGAATGTGCCATGTCATTCTTATATCACTTAAACGCTCAATATCTTCATTTTTAGCTTACATATAAACTTCAACAGGATTTCTATGTAAATATTAAATAAATCAGAAAAAAACTCTCAGATAAGAATACATTAACATATAAATTTTTAGTTTTCTCTATAAAAATGTAGTCTTTTTTGCTTAATTTTAATTAATTCTTTTTCATTTTTTCTTCGAATGTAGGCAAAGCTAAAATAATTGTTATCAGACAAGATTATTCTGATTAGAGCTACTATATGCATATAATGAGAAAGATTTGTGATAACTAATTCTAAATTAATATCCTAATTCAAAGATTTTCTATTTTCGTTTTTAAAGTAAAAAAAGAATAAGGGTGTTACATTACATTTATAGCACTAAATAGATATATATATATCAGACCTTCATGTTAAAAAAATAAAATAAAAGTGACTTTAATTTCAAAGCACAAATGACTTCCTGCTTGTTCTTTTCTCTCTTTTTCTCGACGTAATAGTATTTTCTTTTCATCAAAATCTTTAAAGTCGTTCAATATGAGTTTGAAATAAATATGAAGTAACCCTGACGACAAGCAAATTTATTAAAAAATACAAGAAAAGAAAGAGGAGAAAAATAAGACAAAGTGAAAAGTTAGCAATGCTATGGAAGCAAGAGAGGAAAAGTCTAAAAATTACAATTTCTTCTGCGGTGAAATAGACTTTCTACTTATTCTCTATGAGGCTTTGGTCATCATTAGTATCAGCGTACCGCCTTACCATCTACAAGAAAAGGACTCTAAACCATCTTGAAGGTGGGTGTGCATATGTGTTCTCCTTACCCCATTCCTACACCCATACCCTCAGGAGTTTCTACAAACAGGAGTCTTTCCGACTTTCCAGAAATGGGGCACCCGTCTTTGATGTCTTAGAACGGAAGCTCAATACCAATTGTTTTTTCGGAGCCAGAAACTGAATCGATTTGTGGATTTTTAATAGTGGTAACTCGAACTAGATCTCGAGGAACGAAAACGACGATTGACACCCCTGGTTAGATGTCAATTCAAAGAAAAGCCAGATCGTTACTAACCAAATTAATACATTTTTCCACACTTACCACGTTCTTCCAACAGTTTTTTCACGAATATAAGGAATATGAGAAAAATTTCTTCTTTTTATAAACGCTTGTAAATTGGAATTTTCTTTATTTTTGTTCTGTTTACTGGCACAGTAAAGAGGGGTTTTTCCGACAAAATAGACCTCGTCGTATATGTTTGAAGGAAAGAGAAAAAGTGTGCGGTTGTTTTTTTCTTATAAAGCAGAACTCGTCACATTTCCTAGAAGAAAATAACGAGTCATAGAAAAATAACATGGTTTTTTCCTTTTTCTATTATTAATTGTCATACAAGTAGGAAAAAACCATATGCACTATGGTAAATTCAAAGTTGAAATTTTCTTAGTGTGTGTGTATGGGTGCGGGTGGGTGTGCGTTTGGACGTAGATGAGCGTGGGTGGGTGTTAGAGTAAGGTTAATGTAATACCTATACCCAAATTCATACCCACATCCTCAGGTAAAGAACAAATAATACACTTACTGCGATTCGAATGGTCGTAAAGATAAAGCTACAGATCGTTACAAAAAACAGCATCCGGATAAAACATTTAAATTGAAACTAGTTGAAAATAACATAGCGAAAAAAACAACTAAATCATGATACAACAATAATAGCAACACAAGTTGCTTATTAGAATTACTCGATGATAAATTAAAGTGCAAGTGTGTGCATATGAGTGTACTGTCCGAAAATGTGTTTATAGTACACTAACACCCACACCATAGAATACAATAACTGCTCCATCTGATACAGCAGGAAAAAAATACAAAACCGTTCGAAGATATCCCATCTAACTAATCTATTATCAACAACAAATGATATTATAATAGTCCGTATTTAGAGCACATAATCTATATTACAATGAAAACAAACACATTGATTCAACACATGTAATATAATAATAATCATTTTGTCATACGATAGATTATTTCAATGTTATATAGTTCCTTCACGATCCAACTTGATTATTAGTTCATTTAAATTTCGATTGAAATGTGAAAGTGATATTTAATAAATGGTGACTTAAGACGAATAATAAATTATTAATATATTCAATAAAGAAATATTTTATTAGATTCATTTATTTTATATTCTCTTATGTTCTTATTTCTTATCTTGTAAATCAATATCATTTAAATGTTCACCAATATTTTTATTAACAAATACTATAATGAAAACATCAGAGATTCGATATATAAACGACAAAAATCGTTTCAATACAATTGAGATAAAAACAACAAAGAAAATTTGGTATCTATACTTATTATAGTCGAAGTAATAGAATCATCTTGAGGGTGTGAATGTGGGTGAGTGAGAGTAGTGTATTGTAATCCCACACTCACCATCTAGATGGTCATACTTGCTACTCGCACATACTTCATGAGATGTCTAATTCGATTTCTAATATAAATGGACATTCAGAACATTGTTCTCAGTTGGAAAATAAATAATAAAACAAACTATTAATATATTGATTTATATCATTAATATAAACATTTCTATCTATGATAAATGGATTCAAAAAACTGTTCTTTTTTTCTTTCCTAACTTTACAGTAAAGTCTTCATTTGTCACATTTATATAAATGATAAATAAATTCAAAGGAAAATCTTCTTTTTTGCTTTTATTAGCCTACAGTAAAGTGTTCAATTAACACAATTATATGAACGTGAAATCGATAAAAGAAAAATTTTCTGTCTTGCTTTTTATAACCTACACATTCCACAACAAAACGGGTATTTATTACTATCGCAAACTTTTTCCGGGTTTCTGAGCGATTCGGAAACGTTTCTTGTGGTTTCCGAATCATTCGGAAACCCTAAAAGAATTTCCGATAGTAACACATACCAATTTTTTTAGAGTGCAATAAAGTGTTCATTCGGCATATTTATATAAACGAGAAATCGATAAAATAATTTTTATAGGTATAAAGTGCACCGATAAATTTCTTTTTCCTTTGATTTATATTATAGGTCGAATAAGGCAAGTACCCACATACTCATGCTTTAGAAAAAGATTAAAAGAAAAGGTTTTGAATACTGTTTTATTAGCGGACAAAGAAATGATTTATACAGTAATGATGATATGTCAACATATATACTTACACCAACGATTTTTCCTAACATGTTGCTTTTTTTATCAGTAATATTACTCGTTTATTAGTTAATAAAGTTCGCTCAATACAACTAAACGAGATCTAAGCTTCTGAAGAGAAGTAAAGCGATGTTGAGTAAGAGCGTTGTATATTGATTACTAAGCAACTCAGTATAATATCACTCGTTGGAAGTATGTTTATGAAAACATAATCAATAAAAGATGTATGAAGAGACTGATGTGCTTTAATACATAGTAGTCCGTAGTAGTACTACTGCAGCGGATGATAGAAAGAGTTGATTCTTGCTCTAATTAAATATTAGCAAATAACAATATTACTTTTACGGAACTTTTAGAATAATAAAGCATCACTGACAAAAATCTACTAATGACATATTTAAAGACTCTAGGCACGCACTAAAAGCATTTTTGCTATGACTATCATACTTCTGATTAGACTTTAGCTTTACATATTACTAGAAGAAAGAGTTTTTTTCGCTGCAAACTCGTGGATATTGACAATAAATAGCGAACCTATGTTTTTATTTTTTCATCAGCCATAGCATATATACATTCTAATTATTAGTCACCTACCACTAACTAACGGTAAATAGTCATACCGACTATGTATTCGACACTAGTTTATTTGCTCACTCAATAATAATTGTTATTTCTCTCGTTCAGGTATTTTCACTAAATCAAAGTATTATAGGAGCAGAAATTCACCAATTGTCACTAACTATCAGTATTAACACATTAGTATTACCATTCGTCGCTAACTGACAATTAGTGAGTGATAACGCGTATCACATATTTTCTACAGACAAACTGATTCAAACGCCTTATAACGACAAAAGCGCTTTTGAAACACCGTTTTCAACGTTCGATGTCTGCCTGTGCAGCTACCGTCGCCAACACAACATCAGCAAATGCATCACCACCCTTATCACGGAATTTAGAAGGTGTACGATTAATTTGGTTTGATCGAACAATCGATAGAACTGATGATACAAAACGAACGATAGAAAAGCTACATAAAGTTAGTGACTATGTCGCTCTTTTTACCGACTGGGAAGAATATAGTCGGTATATTCATTCGATTAAAGACGAAAAGGTTTTTCTCATTGTATCTGGCAAACTGGCTGAATCCATCTTTGACTGCATGCATAACCACAGACAAATTGATTCACTTTTTGTTTTCTGTTACAAACCGGAGGAATATGAAAATCTACATTTACGAGATTACAAAAAGGTGTTGAGAGGTATTTTTAATAACGTGGATAGTTTGATTGATTGTATTAGAGAAAATGCTGCATTCGTAGAAAAACAATTAGAAACATTTAGTTTCTTTGATCAACATCCTGAAAAATCTATAAGGAACTTATCAAAACAATCAGCTGAATTCTTATGGTTTCAAATTTTTAAAGATGTTATTATGAGAATGCCACATGATAGTCATGCCAAACGTCAAATGGTTCAATTTTGTAAAAATTATTACTATGGTGATCATGAACAGCAATTATTCATTGAAGAATTCGAACAAGACTATCGGCCTGACAACAGTATCAAATGGTATACAAAAGAAACTTTTCTTTATAAGCTCGTCAATAAAGCATTGAGAACCGAAGATATTGAACATTTGCACATCTTTCGTTTCTTTATTTCGGACTTATCATTAAGTTTATCCGCAGAATATGAAAAAATTCGTTCAAATAAAGATACTATTATACTTTATCGTGGTCAAAAAATGGATCCAATCGAGTTATTGTCGCTTCAAGAAAACCACGGAAATCTAATAGCGGCAAATGGTTTTCTTTCTGCCAGCCGTTCTGAACAGCTTGCAATCGAGTTTGCTATAAAACCTACTAAACGATCCAACGTTCTTTCAGTTTTGTACGAGATAGAATGTAACGTAAAATCGACTATTTTTGCCGATGTTGCTCAGTTTAGTGACTATCCAAAAGAATCAGAAGTATTATTTGATTTTGGATCAACGTTCAGATTTATTTCTGTCACTGAAGATAAGCAATCAAAACTGTGGAAAATTAAAATGAATGCAACCGATGAAGGAGCAGCGGTGATGAAAGAATATATTGAATTATATCGTAAAGATGAAAGTGAAATTAGCATCGAGATGATATTTGGCAAATTGTTGTTAGAAATGGGCAAGTATGATCAATCAATAAAACATTTTCAAACTTTGTTAAATGATTCTGCACACAAGGAACATAAAGCATGGATTTACAATCTTATCGGAGCTGGATATCACTGCAAATATGAACTAGAGAAAGCATTCGAAAACTATCGACATTGTTTTCTTATGATTGCAACTTCTGTACCATTACCGGTTCATCAATCAATCAGGCCGTTAGCAAATATGGGTCTTATTAATCATCAACGAAAAGATTACAACGGTGCTATGGACACATATTCTAAAGTATTGGAAATAGCAGAAATATGCTACGGAAAATATCATCTCAAAACTACGAAAATTCTAACCAATATTGGCAGTATTTATGTAGAACTTAAACAATATGAAAGGGCGTTAAAAACCTATAAAAATGTATTGGAAATTCAACAAAAGGATTTATTAACGAATCATATTGATATTGCTATGACACTGAACAATATTGGAGTAGTTTATCACAAATTGGGTCAAAAAGATCGTGCACTTGAATATTATCGAAAATCATTGGCAATGAAACAAATACTATTACCACCAGAACACAAGGACATTCGTCTCACAAAAAATAATATTGAAGATATGAACGAACCTCGATATCAATTTGCTTTGCATTTTGGGTCCGCAGAAGACAAAATGCCCAGCTCATATGATGCTGATACCACAAACAAACCATCAGAATCCATCTTACATGATATTGATACCTAAATTGGATACTGAATCTAATTTGACTATGTTAGCTATATCCAGTGATTCTGTCTGAGCAGTTTTTAAGAAACCTCAAATATTAATAAAATTCTCTATTAGCTACTCATCTTCATGGCAAATCGAAAGCTTTTTTTTGTTAGTTATTCCAGAGAAGATAAAGATTAAAACAGTTTATTTTAGAAGAGTTCAAATGAATAAAATCTTGACTCTTTTAAAATAAGTTTATCTTGAGGATGGGGTGTAGGTATGGCTTTGGATGTGTGTGTGGCGAACTACCGTAATAATGATCTCGTCCCTAATAAAGTATTCTCTACACGGCTTCAATAGCATACTTCTTCAGAACGCTTAAAAAAAAAGTAGCATTCGTGAATTTTACTACATAAAAAAGACACAGAGTGTCTGTGGATGTGGGTGGAGGTGAGTACGCGTTTAGGTGAAGAAGGGAATGTCAGAAATAAATGAATACTCACACCCACACCTATCCTAAATTCCGACTAATCTGCAGTAGTAA